TAAATTTTGCTTATGATTTGCATCCTTATTGGTCACAGAATTTATTCCTAGGAAATCCATTAAGACTTCTATAAATGATTCACCAACCTCAAGAACAAATGGAGATAGAATTGAACAATTTGAGAAAGCAAAAAGATCGTCATTGACACGTTATGAAGCTTTAATTAACGAAGTTCAATGTGATCTTTTTCTCCCTCCAGATCCGGAGTACGAGAGAATACGAGACCAAACAGAAGAATATTATGAAGCAAGATATTCAGAATTCAGTGTTGAACAATCTTTGGAATTGATTCGTAAGATTGTTAAACAGTCCTCTCAAACACAACAACAACCTGATGTTCCACAGCAGCAACAGCCACAATTGCCACCGCGCGAAGAATCTAAAAGTATACAGCATTATACAGCACAACCACCACATTCGTCATGGAATTCGGATAGTGCAATTCCGTCATTAAAAGATTTGCACTATGAAATTTGATATTTTAATGATTACTACAGTCTGACGATTTACCCGATATGGGTAATGTCGAGCAGATATTTCTAGGCATTTCGGTTGCACAATATACATGTTAATTGCCAATCAGATTACGGCCTTGATAAATAAAAAAATTGATTATTCGTATAACGAAAAAATTTATTAATAAACAATTCAAAATTTCCCAAATTTTAAAATTAATGCAACGAACAACTTTGTACAAAATTTCGTTATAGCTATTTTTTTTTGCAAATGGCAAATACGAAAATACTTCGCCAAATACTAATCAGAATCAAATAATTTTTATATTATTCGATTCGTCTCGACGAGACGTATCGAATGGTATAAAAATCATCCAATTATAATTGATAGAACCCGAGATATTTATTGCTAATAATCTAACTTTTATCTAAAATAATGCTTGGTTAATGGTTTGGATTTACACCTTTGTATTAAATTAAGTATGCTTTAAAAAATTTTTTTTATATAAAAAAAATTTATCACAAAGTATAGAATTGTTTAATATCATTTATTTTAATATTATTAAAAAAAAAAATATATATATATATAGAGTTTTAGTTTTCTTTGTATATATATATTTTTTTTTGCTTCACTTGGGCAGATCGTGCCAGTATAAAAGTTATTTATAAATTGGTTATACTGCTATTCTCCAAGCTTTGACCAAGCCTGTTTTTTGACATTATTATTGATATAAAACACACAAAAATGATGACGTGCTGTTGGAAAGATTTTGAAAATAGCAGTAGTAATTGCAAGATTAACTTCTTTTTGTATTGATATCCAAACTAGAGAAGTTTCTGGAAGCAATAAGTTGAAAATAAACTTAAGTTAGTTTGGAGATAAAAGGCTATAAAGAGCTTTTAAAAGAATATTCTTTGATTAAAAAACTTGCAAAATTATAATATTTTTTTACTGTTTTCTTTTTTAAAAATTTTTAACAAAAAGTTGAGAATTTTGCTATCTTTTTCAAAAGATTGGTTTTGTTTATTATTTTTATTTTTGAAGTTCCAAGTTGTGATATAATATCTGAAAATATAGTACAATAATTATGTGTAAGAAGGAAGTTTTAAATAATTTTCAGGTCAAGAATTGTTAATAGCATGTTTTATATTTGAATTAGATATAGCTATTGGGCAGTTTTTTATTCAGAATATATTAAGAAATTTTAATAATAATGATTGAAAAAATCAATAGAGAAGCATGTTTGAAGTGAAGAATTATAAGAGGCAGAACTATTTGTAATCAGAGTTTGTTGAAGCATTTATAGAAGTCTTAATGGATTTCCTAGGAATAAATTCTGTGACCAATAAGGATGCAAATCATAAGCAAAATTTA